GTTATTGGGTGAATAACCTTTATTTTTTGTTGGAAAAGTTTCCCACTGAGATCATCTGACATTAAATTGTGGCAAATTAACTTGCATTTTTATTAGTTTGCTAGAAAACTGATAGAGATAGACACTCAGGTTGCTAGCAGTGGGTGTTGTACTTTCTCATTCTTGCCCCTTCCTCCCCTCTGCAGGTATTCTTACAGGACAATATTGGGTGAATAACCTTTATTTTTTGTTGGAAAAGTTTCCCACTGAGATCATCTGACATTAAATTGTGGCAAATTAACTTGCATTTTTATTAGTTTGCTAGAAAACTGATAGAGATAGACACTCAGGTTGCTAGCAGTGGGTGTTGTACTTTCTCATTCTTGCCCCTTCCTCCCCTCTGCAGGTATTCTTACAGGACAATACATTTTTTTAAATCAGAAAAGCTTTTGGTAGCAACTGTTATTTTATATAGTGTATGGTTGGACAGCATCTAGCACAACAGTTAACAATTTTTCTTTTTTTAAGTATCTTCTGCGTGTTCTGGCCTCTCAACCTTGATCCTAAGAGATCTATAGAAAGGTAAAGAGACCAGAAAAGTAGGCAATTAAAGCTGTCTGAGCACAGACATGATGCATGTAACTATATTTCTGAATAGAAAGCAAAAACAAAAAGTTATTTTTTCTTTTTCTTCCATTAGGTTAAAAGATTTTTTTTTTTTTTTTTTTAAATCTATTGAGGTATTATGAAAGTGGACATTCCTGGAATTACTTTTTTTTTTTTTAACGACAGGTTTTTGATAAGGAAACTAAATCTGTGTGGCTGTTTTACAAATTCTGTTCTTTTTAATTTATTTTTCACAATAAAGGCAAATTATGAAAGGGCTTATCTTGCAGCAATTTGAGCATTCTGTAAACAACCAACATCTCAGATGACCTTAGTCCCACTCAGCTATCACACACAACTGATTTTGAAACCTTCGTAGTGTTCCTAGGATATACTGTATTTCACAAGGCTGTATAATTCTGCCCTGTTCTCTCTTGAAAATTACAGTTCCGTGATAATTTTTTCTCCTTTCAATTTTCAAAAAGTTAGTCAGCTCCAGTTCTCTTATGGCAGTGGAGTACTGTCCTTTCATACATTGTTTCTTGGCCAGTCCCATGTCATGGAGGAGAGAATGCAGGACAGATGCTTCACGCCTGGCATACTCAGCTGTTCCCGAGAATAAAACTACTACGTGCGACTGGCAAGTACTGCTTGAGGCAGCATATGCTAGCTGTTAATGTGTGACCTTTTTGTCCTCAGTAACTCGACTAACTCTACTCATTTAGAACGAAAAAAAATTAGATACGAAATTTAGGCAACTGAGTTTCTGAATATCAAGCCACTGCTTTATAATAAATGTATTTATCACTTCAAAACTCTAGTTCTAGATGTAAAGTGTTAATTGTACACTGACCAGTGTACAGAGAGGTGGGTGAGTAGCATGGACTGCCAGCCAGGTTATTGGAGTACGTGGAGCTGCAAGTGATTCAATTACAGTGGCTTAAGAAGTTCCTGTCTCCTCAGCTGAGAGTTTTACTGCCACTGAGCTGACATGCAGCTCAACTGATCATATACACCCTACCAGACCAGTAAAAAATAAGCTAAGTTGGCTACTTTAATTACTGCTGCCACAGAATAAACTGAGAGTCACTGAGAGACTGTTTTTCTGGATGGTGCAGCTATTTATGGTTGTCTCAGCGTAAGAGAATTTTGAATTTTGAGTCCTTAATGAATAGTAATGGCCTTAGAAGTGAGACACATATCTGAGTCTCTTGGTTTGTCTTTCTATTACCTAATCATCTGTGCTGGTGATACAATGAAACAGCATTTTTGCAGTAAGTGTGCCTTGCTGAAACATGGCTTCTTTGGAGCCAGTGCTGCAGAATGATCAAATAAATAAATCCTCAGTGAGGAGATATTTTATACATATACAGTACCTTTGATAATTTAATCACTGACAATTACATATGCTATAATTTTATTTTAAGTTCAAGATCTGCTTTCCCAATAGACCAATCTATTCCACCTTGCATCTTTTCGCTACCAGTGCTTTCGTGGGAGTAAAGGCCTGGATGAAGTCTAGTTGTTGAGTACAAATTCTTACTGCGATTGGATGTTTGCTGAGCTGTGCTACTGAATAATAGTGCCTTGTAATTGCACACGTAGCTTTCCGTGCATTTTATAAAATCATTCAAGGGAAGAATGAAAATATTCTAAGTATCATATTCACTACAAATGCAGGATTTATTTATCTTGGACTTGATGCCTTTCTGAAGAATTTATTGTTTGAATGTGTTTACTCTTCTCTTCCTAAAGAAAATATGACAGAGGCATATCAGCATGGTTGAGTCCTTTCATTGAGGGGATATAAACAAAAAACCAGTAATCATATGGGTAAAACATACGAGTTCTTAAGATATTAAATTTTTGAAGTTTGTTGATTAAATATTCTTGTAAAAATTTGTGGGTGGCTTTAGTTTTGGTTTTGTTTTAATAAAAAACCCCGAAGATTTTTCAGGTGATCATGGGTATTTATTTTTGCGCTCTCTTTGTGTGTTTTACAATGTTCCTGCTACGCAGGGAGACTTTACACGCAGCATTGCTCCTGTTCACGGGCAATGTTTCCCAGAACTGCTGGTCAATCGTATGGGTTTTACTCTGCCATTAGTATTTCTGTTAGTGGTCATTAATGAAGTTGTGTGAAAGAGTCCAAACTGATAGGTTGCTGAGCAAAAAGAAGGAAATGTCAGTGCAACGGCTGGATAACATGTAGAAAAAAGAGATAGGTCAATAGAAAGAGAGTGGGGAAAAAACCTCTGAATTAGGTAGGCACTGGGTTGGATGGCAGTCTGAAAAAGGTCATCTTGGTTTAGGATCTGGAAACAATTTTAAGTACCGCATGCGGTTGCTGGAGAAACCAGCTAACAGATGTGTACCTTATGCTTGAGGACAAATGATGCAGATGATGCAGAGTATGCAATGACATTTTTATTCTGCACCTGTGGACTTCAAACATTTGCACATTCATTTTGAAACATCTGCTGAGGTTTTTTGGTCCTCTTTATGAAAGTAACTTCAGGATAGACCTCATTTTTATTTCTGACTGTTGGAGTACTGTTTAAAGAACAGATACATGTAATTCAGGATGGTTTTGAATGTAGGTTTCCAGAAGACCTTAAACATCCTTTTATTAAAGTTAGTATTTTATGCATAAAATCACTGACAAGAAATATTTTCCTTTCTTTGTCTAAAGCTGCGCAGAGTGAGGAGCGGCTGTGTGCATTTAAGGACCCATATCAGCAGGACCATGGAATCAGTGAGAGCCGAATCTCCCAGGAGAATGGCACAATTTTGTGCATGAAAGGTAGTACCTGCTATGGACTTTGGGAAAAAACACGAGAAGGAGACATACATCTTGTGAAACAAGGTATGTAACATTTCAGTGTAACAGCTGCAAAGCTAGACATTTTGTTTATGCATTTTACAAATGCGTAATTTTAAACCTCCTATTTAGCAATTTTAAATATGAACAGAAATTTTGTTTGAAATAAATGACTTCTAGAAGAGACCAAAGAGGTCAATGCTCAGTTGAAGGAAAAAACACTCAAATTGCTTGTTACTTAAGATGTCCAGAGGAAGGTGACTTTCTTGAATATATCTCAGTATATATATTGATGTAATGATAAATTTAAAAATAAGTGTCTCATTAAGTAAAAATGTATATTCATATTGATTGCATGTTTGTTTACAAAGGAAATTGCAGCTATAGCACAAAACTGTCACATGTTACTAACTGTCAATTCGCTGCTCTTCTGTGGGGAAAGTGATGGTAGGGAGGGGTGAAGAGTCTTGCAGTTGCTGGAGATGTGTTTTGATTGCCATTCTCAGGGACTCTGCTCTTGGTTACTTGGATACAAGTTAATATAGTATAAGGCTGAATGAAAACTGGTGTTTACAAACATCCTGTGCAGTTGTACTCAATGTTGTTGTTTCATGTTTGATCTGGTAATCTGCTGAAAGAAGCAGTCTGATTGCTCACCTCTGCCCCCACACCGCCTCTTTCC